TATTAAAATTTAGGATAAACATTTATGAATACCTCAAGAGTATAGGACATTTCACGGTTGCAACGGAGTTACTGATCGTAGTGCTTAAAATTACCTCCCTTAGTTCCAATGCGCATGCCCACCAAAACTTTCCAGTTCCGGATAGTTCAGGATCTTAGCTGTACTACAAATCATTATGGTTAAACCAATGAATAAATTATATATGTCTAACATCTTTTGCTTATACTAGGAGAATAATTATATATTTACATAAAATAATTTGATTTGGTGTCTATACTTTCATTATATCAGATAATTAAATAATATTTACTGTCCATACTTAAATGATATAAAATAATTAACTTAAATATGCTTTCCATATTTACATTATACCAGATAATATATAATCATAATCCATAATTTCAGATACATTTGTAGGAGCATTTCATTTTGCTCTACGATTTTAAACATTTTTTTGCACATTTTTGGCTACATAACTTAAACGAAAATCAACTCAATAATTTGCATTTTTCATACGCTGATATGTCCTTCTTTCTCAGTTATTTTCTCAAGGCTAATAGTTCGTTTATAACACGAGTTAAGAAAGCTATAATACGAGTTCGATAAGAAAATTATGACACAAATTCGATACCTCAGCTAATCTGTAATATTGAAAACCATTGTAGACCATAAAACTCTTTGAAAATCGAACACAGTATATTAATATAATTAGACGAACTTAACAAAACAATAATTACATTAGCTATTATAAAGATAAAGTAATGTAATTAATGAAGATGGGAATATTTCTTCCTATTTGAGTGTAAATATTGTACAATATTCGGACTAATTGATGACTCTCTTGTTTCATTTTCTTTTTGGTGTTGGTGAGGGAAAGGGTTCTCACATATTTAAACAATCAAAAACGTATTTCCTCATATACGTATTTTTTTCTTGCCTTGTCCAGTCAAATATAGTCATGCATTCATTCAGCCTAATATTTAATTATTTATATTTCTCGATGGTTTTCTCAAAACTTGAAACATCAAGCATCGGACGGTGCATGCAATAACTTTCAGCATGATTTTTCTTTGCATATGCTGACACGTTGTAATAACTCTCAAATTTGCTGGAGTCTTTAGACAACATTTCTGATTGCCACAACAAATTCATCTGAAGCAACCTTCTTAAATTAAGTTTAATTCTATTTGCCTTTCCATACATCAAATATGTAAGTTTAGAAGATACAATTATTTCGCAGATTCCGTCCTATAGTTTCTGTTCGCCTTTTAAATCAATATTGATCCACGTGATCGGATGTAAAATTACAGACGGTATGTTTGCAAGAATATGTTCTTCAAGTCAATAATAAATGGATAGTCACAAATATTTATATTTGCAGTTTTTATCTATCGGTTACTCTTTCTACCTTAGCACCATTTTATACCCGTTTTGAACCAGAAGTATGTTTATGTAATATATGTATGTAAACACATTCATTCAAGCATATAAATACATACATACATACATACATACATACATACATACATACATACATACATACATACATACATACATACATACATACATACATACATACATACATACATACATACATACATACATACATACATACATACATACATACATACATACATACATACATACATACATACATACATACATACATACATACATACATACATACATACATACATATATATATATATATATATATATATATATATATATATATATATATATATATATATATATATATATATATATATATATATATATATCCATACATACATACCCATGCACCAGATGATATGAAATATATCCTTCCTCGATATAACAACTCAAGTTATTTCATGAAATATAACATTAGAAATGCAACAGTCTAAATCGATAATAAATATACATGCACTGCATGGTATTATTGTTTTATTCCTTTTTTTAATTTGATCGGGGTAATAAAACTTTACATATACGGTAGAGAAATGTCAGAAATGGAGATGCGATTTTGGCGGAAATGGAGATGCGATTTTGTTTGTAGAGAAAATTACACAGCATTGACAGTAATCATTCATTGGATTTAAGCTAATTGGTGACAATTTTTTTTTTTGTTTACTATAGTACTTTTTTAGTGGTTTTTAAAAAATAAACATATTTTCATTATTCTTCAAACGAGATAAATTGCTGTAACAATCATTTTACGCAGGGATACACTTTTGCACAATCAAAACATCAAACTAGAGCATAAGGTAGTAGTGGAAAGATAATAAAGTCTTGAAATGGGCAGATAACATTTATTTGAAAGCTGGCAACAGCGCAAGTTACTGAAAGAACAAACAAAAGATGAAAAAAAAAACAGTTGATTAAATATTGATAGAATTTCTTTATAAGATAGTGATACATCGATTATGATTGCGGAATGTGAGCAGTCTGTCACATTTTCTTGATCTACATATGTCATCTTTATTGATTAAACTATCCGGAAGTGAGTTGCACCAATACGCCGTCTGGTGCTTTCAACGGGAGATCATAACCGTGAAATGGTCTATAGTATTGTTTCCTTTGAAAATCGGTGACAGGCAGAGTACATCGGTTCCTTTGGATAAACCCAAGAGGACTAGTTATTACCTTCGCTCAGCCTGCAATCATTACACAAAGCGTTATATATTATTTTGAATACGATCCCTTACTACCTTCATTATTGAATTTCAGATCATTAATTTATAACGAAAATAGGAAGGGTAAAAGGTTTTCACCATGCCTTTTTCTACACTGACCAGCAATATAGGATGAAAATTCTTTACATGCATACATATATGACGTCATTTTACCATATATATTTCTAATCACATTCAGCAATTTACCCATATGTTATTATGAACCATTCCTTTCTTCAAAGATCCTGCCATCCATACATTATCGAATGCCTTTTTGAAATTGACAAATGCAGAAAATAATTTCCCTTTTTTGTCTTGCTTTTTACATTTTCTGAAAAGACTTGTATAGAATAAATATTATCAAGGGTGTAATATCCGTCTCTAAAGCCAGGCTGATGTTTTTGAGCAGTACAAATTGTCCCTCATAAGCCAGTAAATCCTACATAAACACATTCACTAGAACCTTAGAGGAAAAGCTCCTTATTTTGGAAGAATAAACAACATAATACCACTAGATTTTTACCCAACACTTATTTGCTCTGATTATTTGTGATTATTTCTGTTGCTTTCAAAATCAAAATCACCCAGTTTGTGACGCCACCAAACCGCTGAAGTCGAATGTAAGAGGAAAAACATTAAACAGGTCTGGGGATTATGGTCTATTTTGTAACCGAAACATGAAAAAGAAATGTATGTACCGGTATATGATTTGGTGAATACAGGCTACTCACAAAATTCCTCATGCCACCTTTATGTTGACCGAACTGTTCTCCAGTAGAAACATATACGTATCGGACAGCAGGGTTTATTTGTTTTCTTAAGCATGGAATCCAGTGAATGACTCGGGGGAACTCGTGTCTGATCAAGAGTTCATTGTCCGCTAACCTAGCTGGAAGACTTCATTTTCGTCAATCTTTGTATAATGATGAAAGTTTTTGCGATGGGTCAGCATGTAGAACGAAATTGCGACAGTTTGCTTATGTACATTCTAATCTATACCCTTAATGGCTCTTGTTCATGTTGACTTCAAAGCAATCAGGGTCTTGTCTAAAAAGTCTAACTTTTTTAGAACTATGTTAATACTGATTTCTTATTATTTTACTCATTTTCAATTAAATGATCCTACAAAAATTACAAAACATCCTGGTTTATGTAAATCAAGGATTGTAAATATCTGGAAGGATAAAAATTGTTTACCTTGAACGTTTTGTGAAGTCAGCCTAAAAAAAGAAGAAAGCAACAGATAAATGTCGTTATGTGCGTATTAAAGGACACATATTTTTATTTTTATATATCGTTTCCTGACGACGACTGATGTACAGTTTAATTATTGGACTGCGTGTGTAACAGAAGAAGAAATCTGTATTCTGTACTTCAACATAGTTAAAACAAACTAACAGTATATTGCTTGACCCAAAATGTATTGAATCTATTCCGACTCATGATGTCTGGTATCCTTACCGATTTTGTAAGGTCCTAATTTGTATATATGATCTAAAGTACGGTTTGATAATTGAAATACTAAACCATGTAGTTATGAATTTACCAAACCGAACACATCAACGCATTGCAATGAAATGGTCTCAGCGCTCACTAATGGGACAGTAGGGAACTTTTAGACTAAATTTTGAGCACTATGGATATACGCTTAAATGCATACATTTTTTATGGATATATTATAATGCTGAATAACCTATTTTCTTTTTGCATACTTTTTCTCTATATACATAATTGAATTTATTCGTGCACCTTTCATTTTTACAAAGTGTTTTTAGACTGGTACACGAATATAAGTTAGAATTCGTTTTTTATGCATCCCATGCATCAATATCACCAGATGAGTCATTCATTATTTTTAAATGCTTTTTACTGTTGTTGTGAAATCAATGCGCACTGGTAAAGTAAGTATGAAATGTGGCCAAGAACTACATTGTCATTGACCTGGAAATGGAATCATGACCCCCAGTAGGCTTTTTTCCAATATGCTTAAAACAATGCACGGTAACACGTGTAAAGTTGCAGTGTGTTAATATACTATAATGGTTCTGTCATACCCTAGGAATCATAGTGTTAGTGGAATGTTGTTCTGGGTTAAGGATGGGAAATGCATGTAAGTAATATATAGCAATATAATTAGTGGTTTAACCCCTTTAAGTTCAACGTTCCTGGCTTCGTGTGCGGAGCATCATGGATGGCCAGGATGCCAGGATACCTGATTTGGTCAACCTCAAGGGGAGCTAATTCTTGTATGAGGCCGTATGTTATGGCAACTGGATAAACTTGAATCAGCGTGATCTGGAGGAACGATATGAACATTGAGAATAATCTAGTAATTATTCTACTCAG